TCGTCCGCGCAGCCGCCGCAGTGCCCACGGGCCCCCAGCGCCGCTCCCAGGCAACCGAGTCCCGCCCCGCGCGCCCGACAGCCACTTCAGCCAATCACTCTCGCGAAGACTGCACCGAGGCCACGCCTCTTAAAGGAGCCGAAGCAGCAGTATACTTTTTTGTTGGCCTCTGGACGCCCTTGGATGCAGATGGCACTTGAGCGGGATCTGGTAGACTAAACCCTCACCTCTCCTATTGGGTTACGTTCATTATGCAAGGCTTAGAGATGATTCAGAGCCCGCAGAGCGCTGTATTTCTGCCTAGCCCATTCTCCTCTAGGAAGGTCAGAGACATTCTCCTGTCCCACTCCGGATGGAGATTTTAGTAGCTAGGCAGCACAGCTGGGGAGAAGTGCAGTGACCATCAACAGATGTTTAAGGACTCGCATTGTGCTAGGCGCTGGGCGAGTTCTCACGAGAGTCATCAGAAAGGAGAAGAAGCTGCTGGTGGGGATGGCAAGGCAGATATATGTTTGTGTGAGTGACTGGTTAGGCTTAAAGCCACAATATCAGGTTTATCCTAAAGCATAGACTTCCTGGGAATAGATATTTTGGACCAAGACTTTGCAACAAATTTAAAAAAATTTTTAAGTGTTGGAGGAGAAAGAGAGTGAGATCATCTCTTTGTGTTTTGTTTTGGGTTGGCAGGGTCTTCCGGTGGCAGCAATCCTGCTCCAGCTTCTCCCTTAGCTAGGACCATAGGGGTGCGTTAGGGAGCCTGGTATATTTTGTGACAGGCCCCCCAGGTGGCCCCTGCCACAGGGCTGGACCCTGAAGTGCCTTTTCACATTGTGACATTTCGAATTCTTTCCCCAATCTTAAATTGATCAGAGGGGCTGTTAGTTCATTTAACCCCAGCACAACCTTAGGAGGAAGGTACTGTGGTTTTCAGCTTCATTTTACTGATGAGGTCACTGAGACCACACGGGGAGTGTGTGGTCTGGTGCAGAAACCACCTTCTCAGCCACACACTAAGCTGCCTCTGTTCAGTCCTTCCTGCCCTTACAATTCTGTACTTCCTCCTCGATTGGGCCCTTAGAATTGCCATTCTCTTTTCCTTAATCATCTCACTCACCTGCAACCTCCCTGCTGGTCACCTTCCTCGGGCACTTAGAAACACCTACTCCTTTCAGCCTTCCATCTGTCTGTGCCAAGGAGCAGCATTTTATTCACTCATCAGACTTCCTGCAAGCACCCTGTCTGGGCTTGCTGTTCTAGGTGGCGAGTATTCCTCAGAGGATAGGACAAACCCTCGCACCCGTGGATCTTACAATCTGGTAGAAGAGGCAGACCACATACACACAGGAAAATAAGGAAACCTTGGTACCCACAGGCGATAACAAAATCCATGGACGCCCAAAGTCCCTGATACAAAATGACGTGCATATAACCTATGCACTGTCCTGGCCCGTGGGACAGTAGAACAGGTTTCCTGAGGGAAGGAGAGACAGGACGAACAGCACACTATCACAGCACGGAGACGACGCAGTGTCTCTTCAGGGTCGTCTCTTTATTGTAGGCAGCGCGGAGACGACACAGTGTTCAGGGTCATCCGGAGCCAACATGTCGCCACAGCTCAGGGTTGTCCGGAGACGATGCGGTGTCACGGGTCTTCAGGGCCGTCTGGCAATTATGGGCCAGGGATCGTGCTTATATACACATTGGTGGGCCGTGATTGGTTGAATGAAGGATAGCAAAAGGTGGGTTATGATTGGTTGCTTTGTGGACCAATCATGAGGTGCCCAGATATGCAAATCTGAGGGATTTTAAGCTCACCGATTTGCTATGGGAAATGGCCAATCAGAGTGTGGTGTTGAAGGTGAGGTTTTTGAAGGGGAGCCAATTGTAGCCTTTGTAAGTGTTTGCTCTCTGAGCCTAAGATGGCAATCGTAAGAGACTCATGAAAAATGGCCCCAGCAGACTCCCTGGTGCACAGCCTCCCACAATGCACTTCTAACGCTGAGTTTACTTCACAGTCTCAGTAAGACCTAAGTGAACTTAGCATCGTGTATAAGTGAAAAGGAAAAGATAAACTTCTTCAGCATCTCTCTTTTTCTAATGATTTTATTTATTACTTTTGAATTTTCTATGGGGCATGTGAGCTCACCAGAGAGAGACAGAGAAAGCAGCTGCCAGGTCTGGGACTTGAGCCGCGAATCAAGTCATGTGGGAGTCCAGTGTCTTAACCATCATGCCACCTGCTGGCCCCTCAACAGCTCTCTTCCCCCCTTTCCTAGTGGGTGTGGCCTGGTTACACCTGTGGCCAGTTGCACTGGGGGATGCAGAGCCAGCAGACAGAGAGGGCTGACTATAGTGACATGATTCGAGGTGGTGATGGGAAAAATTCAGGGGCAGGGAACAGAGCAGAGCGGTAGGGCAAATCCTCTCTGAGGAGAGGACACTGGAGGATGAAGTCAGCGGGCAAACCAAGTGACCCTTTGGAGGAAGAGCTGCCCAGACCTGGGAAGAGTGAGGGCAAGGGCCCTAAGGCAGGAACATGATCGCCATGCTTTAGGGAAAAGAGCCTGGTTTGCTAGGAGCCAGCGGAGAACAGAGAAGGAAGTAAGGCCTGGCAAGCCGTGTGTGAAGGAGACACTACAAGTCTTTGAGCAGGCTCGTAGCATCATCTGCTTTACTTTTTGCTTTAAAAAGAATTACTTTATTTATTTATTTATTTATTTATTGTCATTTGACCAGAGAGGGATCGAGTGAGACGAAAAGTGAGAAAGCAAGCTACCAAGTCCGGGACTCAAACTGTAGTCAGTCACGTGGGAGTCCAGCGACCTTAACCACCATGTCACCTGCTGTCCCTCTGCTTTACATTTAAAATATATATATATATATTTATTTTAAAGAAATAATTATTTAATTTTATTGATCACCTTTTTTAATGTTTGTTTTAATTTGCTACAGGACACATGTGCTCATCAGAGAGAGAGGGCAAGAGAGAGAAGGCGAGGGAAAGTGAGAAAGCAAGCCGCCTGGTCCAAGACTCAAACCGCGGTCAACCGTGTGGGAGTCCTGCGCCACAACCACCACGCCACCTTCTGGCCCCTGCTTTACATTTTTTAAGCACCATATTTGCAATATGGCGCATGCCCTAGTTAAATTTTTAAAAAGAAGGGACCAGCAGATGACGTAACACTTACGTCCCTGGACTCCATGTAGTTGACTGTGGTTTGAAACGTATGCTGGGTGTGTGTGCATGCATGTCCAAGGTCCCAAGAGGAGAACGGAGAAGGGACTGGCATGGCCATCACCCACCTCCCCGTGGGGGTGATTTCTTGCTTCCTGTCTCTCCGTCTGTGGTAAGTGCACGTGCACTATAGCAAAAATCTCTTTAAAAAGAAAAAGAAGAAATAAAAAAAACATGGCTCATGTGTGATTCCCTTTGAATATCTACCCTCCAGCCTCTCTCAGCTTCACTCTTGGACTTTTTCTCCTCCCCCCAAACATCTTTGCATGTTTCCAACCTTGTCTCACCCCTTCTGTAGTCCCTGAAGGGGCCTCTACCTCCATCCTGCCCTCTTCAGGTGCCTTCTCCTTGGATGGGGCTCAGACCACCCCCTACACCTGGGACACACAGACAAATGCCACCTGGAGTGGACCTCAGAGAATCAGTCATTCCTTTAAAGTAGCACGCTTGGCGATTCTCATAGGCTGGGCTGGCAAACCACTGTTCTAAGCTCCTAAGTGTGGCCATGCGGGGCTCCAAAGTGTGCTTTCTTCAGCAAATTTCTGAGAGAACTATTCAGAGGGTCTGCACACATGAGAATTACCTTAATAACCTTCTGTGAAAGAAATTTACATCGGAATAGCCAGCAGTTGATGCAGACCCACTTTCCTGACGCCAGAGCAGCAGGGTCAGATGGCCACGCCTGGCCCAGGAAGACAGAGGTGTATGCATTCCCTCCCCTTCCACTTGGTGTACTCCTAACCCCCTCTGTCCTGTACGGTATGGACTTCAGGTGCTCTGCCTGTCCTTGGGGCATATGTTAAAGACATCTGTATGCCTTTTCTCTTACTAATCTGCCTTCTTGTCAGTAATTTTGAGCGAACCTCACAAGGTGAACTGCATCACCCCAAAGTCACACCCTAAAAAGGAAGCCTCCCACCTAACAGCTGCTCCTGCTTTCCCTTCCCCTCTCAGCCCAAGCCCCTGAAACCATCCCCCCGCTCCCAGCCTCTCAGACTTCACTGCCTGTGATCTCCTTCGAATGCAGCTTCTGTGTGTTTAACGATGCCCAGGGGATGTTGACAGCTGGCCCGCTCTTCGTGGTGAGGGGCTGGGCTTGCTACAGAACTTAAACCAAGTTTGCGCGCCCAAGGGCCATCAACCAAATGGTAGGCATAGGCGTGAGGGCAGCCACGGGTTCATTGCCACGGGCAAAGCGGGGAGAGCGGCAGCTCGTGCTGAAAAGCCTGGTCTCCCCAAGGAGTTTCCTGCATACTTTTTAAAAAAAATTATTATTATAGGACACATGTACTCACTGGAGAGACAGAAAGAGAGAAGTCACCCCCCCCCCAAGGGGAATGGCCCCGGTAAAATCTCTTTTCCTTCATTCTCTTGGAATTTTGGGTGTGTACACATACATGCGCATGCACGCCCGGTGTGAGTTGTAAGCCACCCGGTCTGGTACTTGAACCACAGTCCACTATATGGGAGTCCAGTGACATAACCATCACGCCATCTGCTGGTCCCCCCGCATGCATTCT